TGACAGATCTGGTAAACATGGAAAAGCAGTTGTTTGGTGAAGACCACATAATTTCCTCACTCTATCTGGATTTACTAGCACTCAGAGAGCTGAGATTGGAGTGCTGATATTGGCCTTGGAAACTTTTTCTACTCAGACCATCAATATTGCAGTGACTCTGCTTACTCTGTTTATTTATTACAAAACCTTAAGACAGCCCTAATGAAGTCTACTCTTGGGCCCACCCTGTGTGCCCTTTTTCTTTGACTTCAGCATTTTCTAGATCAATGCAAACATCCTATTTTTATCACACATATTAAAGCCCACAGCTCACTGCCTGGTCCACTGGCTTATGGCAATAATTAATCCGACCTACAAGTTATGACATCACTGCTTGATCAAGCCACCCAACTGAATCAGTTTTTCCACCAAAATCAGAGAAACTTAACAATTTCAACTTATCCAAAGACTAACTAAGCAAATCACCCTGCAATGCCCAGATTGTCAGCTCACAGGCATGTCCCCTCCTTCAACAGGTGTTAACCCTAGAGGATTAGAAACTAAGATACAGGTATTGATCGACTTACAACCTATGCAACTTACGACCATTTGACTTTACGACCACAATCGCTAGCCACGACTGCTCCGCGTCTGGCAGCGCAAACATTGCCCAGCTGGGCGTACGACAGTGCGGACCAGCTTCCAGCAGCACTACCATCTCCGCGTGCACCATTTCAACTGTTATCCCAGACTCGGTAGAGCAAATTCAACTTACGACCAAATCGTGTTACGACCGGTCTGTCGGAACCAATCGTGGTTGTGGAACCAATCGTGGTTGTAAGTCGAGCACTAGCTGTAAGTACATGTATCCATTGATAACAACACTCATCTAATTAGTGCTTGTGCTCTTCCTGGAGAGTCCTCTCCATATGTCATTAAACATCTTCTCTTAACTTTTGCATTTATGAGGTGGCCCACAAAAAATAAAACTGATAATGGTCCATCTTATGCCAGCTCACAGTTTCAACAATTTTGTCACACATGGAACATCCAGCATTCCACAGGCATCCCATAACCCCCCAAGGACAGGCATAGTAGAACATGCCCACTGCACCTTAAAAAAATATGCTCAGGAAAAAAAAAGGGGGAGTATGAGTAAGGACCCTGCAACACTACTAGCACAAGCCTTATTTACCCTTAATTTCTTAATTTTAGATGATAAATTTCAATCAACTATAGAAAAGCACTTTGCTAAAGCTTCTTAAAACATAAAACTCGCAGTTTTATGGAAAGATGTAAATAGTAATGAATGGTGTGGTCCAAATGATTTGCTAACATAGGGAAGAGGATATGCCTGTGTTTACACCCCCTCAGGTCCTCTTTGGATTCCAGCACAATGCATCAAACCTTAACATAGCATGGCTAGGATCCAACCCGATACCAGAAATGAAGGACATGACCCTGCAAGACCCACAGCCATGGACGATGCAGCTTCCTCAGACAACACAGGACCTGGACCTCACTTTTGGGGGATCCTGAAGAAGACGACACAGGAAGCTGAGCAAATCTTGCTCTGGACACAGACACCATTCACTCCAGATAACCTGTTCCTTGCTATGCTTTCTGTTGTACATTGCAGCTCACGTAGGATATTGATACTTTCTAGGCTCTCGCTTTGTCTGCAACCAGTACCTGTGACACTCTACTGGGCTCATATCTTAGATCTGCCTTTCTTTCACCCTGTCACCTGGGCAGACACCCCCTTCCCATCCTCTAATAACGTAACTGTTTGGCTGGGAGGGAGAGATTTAGCCCTTGTGGGGTCCCTCATTGACGACACACATTGGATTAAGGTGCCAGGTAATACTACATATCACTCCACTATCCTTCCACTATGTGTAAGTTATAAAAATTCTAACTCTTACTGTGTACCAGTCCAAACACAATTATGGCTACATCATGGTAAAAGAAATGCCTGAACAGTCTTAGTTGCAGGTAGCCTCAAACCAGGCAATGCAATCAATGCCACTTTCCCAAACATTCCTTCCTGTGCTAAAGAACAAAACTGGAAAAGTAATGGATTCCACTTTAGCTGGGAGGTCTGTCATGGGGAATTGGGCCTGTAGCCTCCAGTTAGGCAATTATAATATCTTAGACAGGAGCTCACAGCCATTTGCAGGGTGATCATACTAATATCTGCGTCTATTGTGGCATCAGTGACAGTTTCAAAGCCATGTCCCATTCCCCTATAATTTGTGCCAATAGGGGGATGAGATATCCCATACCCCAAGTAGAGTCCATGCCACCCAAGACACTCTAGGTGACTGGGACATCTTAGCACCCCCCTTAACACCTGGCATGGGACATACCATAATTCCAGTCACAATTACACTATGATCTTTTTTCATAATCACACTGCATTGCCTGATTGGCACCACCCATTCATATGTTTTCCTTACGGGAACCGATATTTCTGTTACACCTCAAAACTCCACATTTGTGACCAAGTGCAGGCACAGGCTTGGTTTGCCTCCTGTATCTCTAATTACAATATATCTAATTTAAATATTACTAGTGTCATGGTACTGAGGAGACAATCTAAGGCTTTCCTACTAGTCAATTTAACACGCAATTGGCAAGGTTCCTCTGCCTTTGCCACCACAGAATGTGCCCTCTCCCAGGTCAGATACAAAAGATTCATAGTTACACTTATAGCCTTTATAGTCTTAGCCATAGTTATCCTACCATTCTACTAGCGATGCTGTAGCATCTATCACTGAATCAGTGCAAATAGCTACTTTTGCAGATAATTTGGCCAGAAATGTATCTAATGAACTTCTCTTACAGCAAGGTATAGATTAAAGATCCTTGCACTCTGCAAGCCCTCAAGGCTATTTTGGAACATGTAGGGGAGCAATAAGTTGCACTGGCATTCCAACAGCAGTTCAAACTTGACTGGGAGCATAGGCATATCTGTGTCACCTCTCTACCTTGGAATCGATCAATATACAGTTGGGATAAGGTGAAACAACACCTCTGGGGAACTTTCCATGATAATTTAACTGCAGATGTAAAGTAATTTAAAACCAAAATTCTAGAATCCCTGAATGCTGTAGATCTAAATGCCCAAAAAACAGCCATGTGAAAGGGTATTCGAGAACATCTCTCCTGGACTGACCCCCACTCCTGGGGTTCACTCTTTGATTGGAAAAGAATGTTACTGATTATACTCATGTTTGTCTTACGTTATTTACTAATTCTAGGATGCAAAGCCAGCATACAACCTGTGACTGCTGTGCCAGACAAAACTGCTACTGCATATATCTGTATTATTCAAACAAAACCTGATGCAACAAAAAAGAAAAAGGGGAGGAGATGCAGGGGTCCAGTCAGGGTGGTGGGAGAAATTATAAGAGAAAAATTATAGAGAAAAGGATACAAACCTTCTTGGAAGGCTTGAAAGTTTTGCAAAAGGCTCGTGAAGGAATGAGCCAAAGGTGGCAGTTCTTATCCAGAGGCAATTAGGTAGAAAAGAATATAAGGGAGTTTATCTAAAGAGCTTGTTTACTCATGTGGTCCTAAGACCAACCTTAGAACATCCACAGGTGCATGACTGCTTTTTAGTGGCGAGTTGTGGCGGGGAGGGTTGTCAACAATGTTATTATCTACAAATGGTGTTTGCCTCTGAACCTGGCTTTTAATCACTGGTAGGACTGCTCTCTCTGGGGAAGGCAACCATGTTAATTATCCACAAGTGTGTTGACTCAAAGCCTCTGTCATACTGAATAAAATGCCCACAGTACCAGTTGGTAAGGGTCACAGCTGCTGACTCTTTACAGCACCCTCCTCGATGTCTGTGAGTTGCCAGGACCCCTAAGCCTTCTCTTTCACGGGGTATTTGTGTCTGAGTGCATTTGTTCATCAATTGCTGGGTCAGGATCTGCGGGCCGGACCTGACATATTTCCACACCTGCATTCTTCTGGCCATTAAACTGGATGCTGGGCATAATTCCCTCTTCCCAGTCCTCTAAACTATATCAAAAAATGACCGTCCATCACCAAGATATACATTATCAACAAACAAAAAACAATAAACAAATGACAAAAAAAAAAAAAAAAACCACTGCCTAAACCCTGCTGAAGTACTGTTCCACACCATGAAGAAATATACCTGGTCTATTCCCCATGGCTCCTAGCGGCCTTCTCCATCTCTGCCTATGTTAGGCCTTTCTTCTGGAAATAGGCAGAACAAATCTTCCTAATCCCAGCTGGTTAATCCCCTTTCCCATGCTAGAAGTTTTTAAACCCAGAGGCAACTTCCAATGCCTGAAATAAGTAAGATATCTTTAGCAAGTGTCTCAGTCCTGCAATGTTGTTCCAGAACCAAAAAAATGTGTAGGAAGCTAATAAATATGGTTTCTGAGATAAACCATGTTTACTAGAATTCATAACCTTAATGTTACCATTTATTGCAGTTACTACTAACCAGCTGTCATGCAATTATAGCAGTCTGATATTTTAACCAGCAGTACAACTCTGCTGATACATCCTGGCTGACCATTAAGCTGAACTGATCAGAAACATTCTCCTGTCTTAGGCCAATTATGAAAGTGACACTAGACTCCATAAAGCTGTAAACTTCCTACCAGAATTGGACATCATTTTGTAACACTCTATAAGAAGGAAATATTCTTCTAAACCCTATAAAGCACCATATTTAAGAAGTTTTAAAGGAGAACAAGTTGAAAAAAATACTGTGTAACCAAAAAGCTCTGTATGGTTATTAAACACTTTTAGTGTGTAAAATACGAAAAGTTATTAGTTTTAATATGTAAAATGACACCTATCATATTCCACACAACAAACCCATCAAAGTAAAATTTCATTATAAATTCTAAGTATTCATTAGCAGAATGAAATTAAACTAAAATTATTGTATATTTTTCTATTGTGTGATCCCACAGGATTTAATATTTACAAAATGAATATTATTTGCTCTGCAAACAAAAGCATCACAGTACCTTATAATGTCCATTCATCACAGCATCATGTAGGGGAGTAATCTGGTACATTCCTTTGATATTTACATCTGCTCCACCTTTTAATAGTTCACTTGCTGTCTGATAAAATCCTCCTACACTTGCTTCATGAAGTGCTGTCCAACCTATCATACATAAAAGATATGGCATTTGTTTATATTTGGCATCTTAATAATGTTTTGTGCTTGCCCTTAAAAAACAACTCTGATTCTAAGTTGTTTCTTTAAAAATATTTTGATTATATGAGTCAAGACAGTATTACCTGAAAGCACACTGTATTATTTGGTAGGCTCAATAAATCTGAAGGACAAATCAAACTCCTAGCCCTCAACTCTGTTGTGCAAAACTATGAAAAGAAGCAAAATATCTGAAAGTAATCCTGATCTCTTCAAATAAATAAGCTGTGCAGGTGTCATTATCAACTAAAAGAGAATGCTGGCTACAGGCTACTTTTCTGCAGAGATGAGGGGAGAAATGCTTTATTTCTAGTTCAAGGTACTTCCATTAAAGTATCCAGCTGGCTGGACTATGTATTATTCAGTTCAAAAGTATATACTCATTTTTTCTCCTTCTTTACAAAAAGCTATTTATAGTAGTTTAACAAACCACAAACTGCTCCAAGAAAACCATTCATAGAGGCAAATATTCTTTTCTTTTCTTATCCAAAGACAGTGGTCTAGGTTGCAGAGATTTATTAAATTCCAATAAATCTTAAGACATGTAAGAAAACTTTAAAGTTGCATGTCAAAAGAGAATTTCACTAGCTCTTCTCAGAGCTTTCACAATAAAACAGGGTTTCCCAATCTCAGCTTATGTTTCTTGGCTGTTATGAGTACCACAGAATGTTTACCAGCATCCCTGCCTCAGTCCACCAGGTGATAGTAGAAACTCCCACCCCAGTTGTAACAACTAAACATGTTTCAAGAAACTGCCAAAAGTCCCCTGGGGGTGGGAGCAAAATCACTTCAGTTGAGAACCACTGTCATACAATGTTGTGGAAGGAGTTTCTCCTACAGTATTAATCAAAAAGTTTTGAGGAAGAAACGAAGAGACCTCAAAATTGTAAATATATAGTTATTAAAGTTTTTTCCCCTATAAATTTCCTTAAAATGAATATGGCTTGTTTAAAGCAAAAGTTATAACATTTATAATGTATGTAGATATAATACATATGATAGCTATAGCATAATGGATATAGAGAATAAATCGACTATATGTATTCAGTGTCCTCACATTTCATATAAACTATTATAATATTAACTCTAAGATGACTGTGAAACATTAGAGATGTATGCTTAACCTCTAGAGTAACTGTGAAAAAATAATGTAGAGACAAAGAAACAAAAACCAGATAAGCACACAGAAAACAACTAGTAAAATGGCACACCTAAATCCAACCATTTATGTTAGTGTAAATTGACTAAGAATGCTAATTTCCAATTAAAAGATAAGACTGGCAGAATGAATAAAAAAGCAAACTGTATGCTATTGACAAGAAACATACTTTATTTTTGTTGCAAGTTTTATGTTAAGGTGTACATGTGCAGATCTTTTAAACGGTAAGTTGTGTGTCACTGAGGTTTGGTGTACAAATGATCCCATCACCCAGGTAGTGTGCATAGTATCCAATAGGTATTTTTTCAACCCATGTCCCACTCCTTTCCTCCTCCCGTAAGTAGTCCCCAATGTCTACTGTTTCCATCTTAAGAAACATGCAAATGGAAAGGAAAAAAAAGGGTTACAATCCTAGTCTCTGATAAAACAGACTTTAAACCAACAAAGATCAAAAGAGAGAAAGAAGGGTATTACATAATAGTAAAGGGATCAATGCACAAGAAGAGCTAACTATCCTAAATATATATGCACCCAATACAGGAGCACCCAGATAAATTAAGCAAGTTCTTAATTACTTACAAAGAGACTTAGACTCCCATACAATAATAGTGGGAAACTTTAATACTCCACTGTCAGTATTAGACAGATCAATGAGACAGGAAATTTAAAAGGATATCTAGGACTTGAACTCAGATCTGGACCAAGTGAACCTAATAGACATCTACAGGACTCTTCACCCCAAATACACAGAATATAAAGACACATGCATACGTATGTTCATTGCAGCATTGTTCACAATAGCAAAGACTTGAAACCAATCCAAATGCCCATCAATGATAAACTGGTTAAGAAAATGTGGCACATATACACTGTGGAATACTATGCAGCCATCAAAAGGCATGAGTTCATGTCCTTTGCAGAGACATGGATAAAGCTGGAAACTATTATTCTCAGCAAACTGACCCAAGAACAGAAATCCAAACACTGCATGTTCTCACTCATAAGTGAGTGTTGAGCAATGAGAACATGGACACAGAGAGAGGAACATTACACACCGGGGCCTGTGGTGGGGTGGAGGGCTAGGGGAGGGACAGCAGGGGTGGGGAGATAGGGGAGGGATAGCATTAGGAGAAATATCTAATGTAGATGACGGGGTGATGGATGCAGCAAACCACCATGGCACATGTATACCTATATAACAAACCTGCACATTCTGCACATGCACCCCAGAACTTAAAGTATAATTAAAAAAAGAATAAAAGAAAAAACTCTCAATTTTAAACAAACTCATTCAGAAAATAGAAGAGAGAAGACTTCTTAATTTATGAGGCCTGCAAAACCCTCATACCAAAACCAAAGGCATTACAAAAATATTATAAACTGATCATTGTAAATCTATAAACATAGGTTTTAAAAACTCCTTAACAAAATATTAGCAAATCCTGATAAAAATGATCCAGACAAAAGTATTAATCTCCCCCCAAAAAAATTATAGACAAAAGAATTAGCCTACCCCCCAAATTATATGTCCATTTTACTCATGAAAATATATGCAAAAATCCTTACTTATAGCAAATTGAATCCAGCAATATATAAAAAGAATGATACATCATAACCAGATACAGTTTATTAAGAATGCAAGGTTGGTTTAACATTTGGAAAATCAATCAACCTAATCACCACAGCAGTGAAATAAGAGAGAAAAATTATATGGCCATATCAATAGATGTAGCAAAACTATATGAGAAAAGCTAGCAACTACTCTATCAAAAAAAAAAAAAAAAAAAAAAACTCTGCAAATTAAGAATAGACTCCTCAGTCTGCTCAAGAGCATCTATGAAAACCCATAGTTAAAATCACATTTAATGATAAAATATGCTGAAATGTTGAAAGAAGCAAAACTAATATACCATGGAAAACAGAACAGTAGTGGCACCTTGAGAGTGAAGAATGACTGGGAAGAGGCATGAGGGAACTTTCTGGGATAGTGTACTGTCAAAATTCATCAAATGGCACATTTAAAATTTATAGTTTACCACATGAAAATGTTGCCTCAGAAACACACACACACACACACACACACACAACTGAACTCTAGTTAATAATATTCATGCTAAGGTGTTCAGTGATAAAACACATTGATATCTACAATTTTTTTGAAATGTATCAAAATAAAGATGGATTGATGAATACGTATTCAATAAAATAACTATGTAGAATTTAGATATTAGGTATATGGATAAATAAATAGGCCATGTGAACTTTTTGAATATTTTTAAACTACGTATTTTTAAGATGTATATACAAAAACAATTTCTCCCAAATACTGTTTCTTAGAGAAGGTATAAATTCATTGCTGTTTAGGTTCTGAGACCTGTGAACTAGTGAAAATCTGCTTCTGTATACCAGTTGACGTGATTAGCTATCACAGGTCCCAGTTAGATGGGATGAAAAATTAAGCATCAGAAACTCAAAATCATTAACTTTGGAATGCAGATAATGATTTTCCTTCTAGGAAATTTCCTTTCCTTATCTAGATTTTGCTCAAACTACAGTAAAAGTTAGTTTCCTAAAGATGAAAATGGGCTGGGCACGGTGGCTCATGCTTGTAATCCCAGGACTTTGGAGGACAAGGAAGGCAGATCACCTGAGGTCAGGAGCTCAAGACCAGCCTGACCAATATGGTGAAACCTCATCTCTACTAAAGGCATACTAATTAGCCAGGTATCATGGCAGGCACCTGTAATCACAGCTACTTGGGAGGCTGAGGCAGGGTAATCTCTTGAACCTGGGAGAGGAAGACTGCAGTGAGCCGAGATGGCGATTGCATTCCAGCCTGGGTGACAAGAGTGAGACTCTATCTAAAAAAAAAAAAAAAAAAAAAAAAAAAGACTAAAATATCTACTATAGAAATAAGAAAATGACCACAAACAAATATTTTTTTCCCTGAGCCCATAATGATAGGTAAATATAAAAGTAAACATATGGCTTCCAAGGAAAAGTCAGTATCCTATTTTAAAGTTACTGAAGAAAATTCCCAAAGAAAACAAGATACAAGTGTGAGTGATTCAAAGTCAATGATGGAGCAGGGGGAGGAGGTGCTTAAAAATGAATCCCCAATATCCCTGATGAACACAGGGGCAAAATCTTCAACAAAGTACCAGCAAACTGAATTCAACAGTATATTAAAAAGATTATTCACTATGCACTATGATCAAGTGGGATTCATCCCAAGGATACAAGAGTGATTTAATATGCACAAACCAATAAATGTGATATATCACATTAACAGAAAGACAAAAACCATATGATCATTTCAAAAGATGCAGAAAAAGCATTTGACAGAATTCAACATCACTTCATGATAAAAATTCTCAACAAATTAGGTACAGAAGGTATGTACATCAACACAATAAAAATCCCATATATGGGCTTTATTTTTACCCACAGCTAACTTCATATGAAGCAGGGAAAAGTTGCAAGTTTTTCCTTTAAGATCTGGAAAAAGACAAGAATGGCCACTTTCACCACTCCTAGTCAGCACTGTACTGGAAGTCCTAGCAAGAGCAATTAGGCAAAAGAAAAAAATAAAAGGTGTCCAAATGGGAAAGGAGGAAGTCAAATTGTCCCTGTTTGTAAATGACATGGTCTTATATATAGGAAAGTCTAAAGACTTTCCTAAAAAACTTCAAGATCTAATAAAGTCAATAAAGTTGCAGAATACAAAATCAACATACAGAAATCAGCGTGGTTTCTAATGCTAAATAGTGAACTATCCAAAAAAGAAAGC